GTGCGAGGTGTGCGGCCGCACAGGGCGCCATGGCAACAAAGGCGCCAGGTGGCCGACACAGTTTGTCCTCGGGATGGCTTCTCTCCTCCCTACCGCCGGCCATCCGACGTGCCAGCGCTCCCCCATCCGCCCCCCCTACTTCAGTTCTGAGGAGAAACTGCAGGGGGGGGGGTGCAGGAGGAAGTGCAGCCTTAATATTTACCGGTTCTCCGTGTGAGAAGGACAAACACTGGAGCGATCGTCTGTTTGTAAATAACAGTTATGAATGAACAGGCTGTGATTTCCTCAATGGGGCGAAGTACAGAGGCTCCTCCCTATTCAGAAACTGTTGATAGTAAATATTTTACTATCAGCAGTGTCTGAATGAATGGGAAGCCTCTGTACTGAGTGCTTCCCTTTCATTGAGTGCTGAGGCTGCAGATAAAGAAATTGAGGATTTGGTGTCCTCAATTTCTTTTTCTTTTTAAAAGGGAAATGTCAGGGGTCTGTTTGGACCCCTAATATTTCCCCGAAGCCCCCCAACAGTAAAAAAATAAATAATAAAAAAAATAAAAATAAAAAATTATAAAAAAAATAATAAAAAATGTAACAAATTACATTGCTCCACGCCTCCAAGATGGTGGCACGCATTCACAGAACATGCCGGTGGCCAACATGGCTGCTGCTGATTCTCAAACAAATTATTATGCGCCTGCATACATTTTTTGTATCATTCGGACAAATAGTAATTCATTAATTTTACATGTAGTCTAGGTTTTGTGTTCTGTTTTCTATTTTTACTTTTCTAGATATACTTACTTGAAAAAAGGGATCGGCATGACATCCTGACACTTTATTTTTATAAACTCTATTTTAGTTTGACATTTATTCTTTGCCTTCTGATGTTTTATTTGATAAGAATACTTATATTGTGCCTACAAGTTTAAAACCTTGGAATAAAAGTTTTATTTTTATCATACTTTTTAATATGTTTCTTTGCGGCTTAACAAAAAAGGAGTCTTTAAATGGTGCGGATATTGGGGGAAATGGGTGTGGTTACTGGGGGTATGGTCACTGAGGGGCGCTGCAAAGCTTTCTCACACAGGGCGACTAAAGGCCTAGGGCCGGCCCTGGCTATGTGAGCTCTCGCAAGCTGATGTGCCGGAGAGAAAATTACTTGACATACTGCGCGCGAAGGCAGCGCGCCACCACCTTTACACATCATCTCATATCTACTGTTTGCCCAAGATCGGAAGAGAAGAGAAATCTTCACAGCAGGACACACTGGGGTTAAAGTGACAGGGGTTTTACTGGGGATGCACCGATACTGATACTAGTATCAGTGCAGATACCGAGTATTTGGGCGAGTAATAGGGAAGGAATGCTCCTATACCTTCCCCGATACCGGAACTTACGGTCAGAGGAACATTTCCTCTGACCGGCAATGCCGTAGGGGAACATGGAGCCAGCTTCCAGTGCAATCAGGATGTCGCAATCGGCAGCCAGGATCGGCAATAATGACCCGCCTCCTAGCTTCCTGATTGTCTGGGAAGCCGGCTTCCCGGCCAATCAGCAAGCTGGGAGGCAGTTCATTACTCTTGGCCCGGCTTCCTGATTGGCTAGAAAGCAAACTCGATGCTGATTGGCTGGGAAGCAGGTTGCTTGGGCAAACACAAATCAAGCCGGGCCAGACAACATAGAGCCAGCTTCTCAGGCAGATTGCCCGGGAAGCCGGCTCCATGCCAGCGGAAGCCCTGGTATCGGTAGCGACAGAAAAGTATCACTACTCATTTTCGATATCGAAAAACCGGCATCAGTGCATCCCTAGTTTTAACGCTTCCCTACTCTTACCAAGAAAAGAAAAAACAAAAAAAAGGGTTTTGGCTATAACCTCTTGATCTGTGTGTTTTAGGTACATCAAGCAGACTGCAAGTTGCCACGGGAACTACTTATAAAAACTAGAGCAAGGGGCTGGCCAAGGTTATAAAGAACTTGTTATAACATTTTATGAAGCCTTGAAAAAATGTTCCAAAAATTAATGAAAAATTATATATACACCTTTGTTTCCTATGAGCTAATGTCAAAGTTTCATTGTTGTATCATCTTTTAGCAGGCATATTGTACACATGGAACTCTGGTGTGCACAGATTTAAAAAAAAAAACCCAAACCACAAGCTCAGACGAAACTAACATGTCCCCTAGATATAACTATTTTGCTACCATTTATGCACGTGCACTTGAATGAGGTACATTTATGCAAACAAAAGGTTTATTATGAAAACATAGAACAGCAGCATATACATGAAGCATTTCTCTCTTTTTTTTTTCTTTTCACAATTTATTTTTGTTATATTGGCTTCTAGGAAAACAAAAACTAAAGAATGAGCGATTTACATACACAACGAAAAAGCTTGGAGGTTAACAAAACCAGTAGTGAGAAAGTATGTAGTCTAGCATTGCTGACATCCTCTTCTAAAATGACCTGTTTTCTGGCTGAAATGCAACTCCATCCACAGGCTTCAGACCTAACATGCAGATCAGCAGTGCGGATGTTTTTCTGACTTTCCTGATCTGCATGCTTGTTTTGGGTCAGTACCTTAAAGCACTGAAGCCAGAAAAAAACCAGGCAACTAGTATTTTCAATTTGTAACTTAGCATTTCAAGGACTATACTTGGCAAAATTTAAACTCACAGTAATCTCTACCCACCCCTGAACTACTGCTAGACACCTTAAAAGTTCCTGTGCAACTAGCATACAATTTCAAAACCCCCCAGACCACATAGGACAGTCCTGGTGACTGGTCGCCCAGGAATAGAACCTTAAAATTGTGTAGGCACATGTTCCCCCACATCTTCCTCTAGTTTAGCAAATCAGTTACTTGTCCTAGTATAGGAAATTAAAAGTTCCCTCTAAATAAGAAAGTAAAGGGCAGTTTTAAGAACTTTAGATAGATTTGAAGAGCTAGTTCACAACAGAACCCCCAAAATGAAACATTCCTTATAATTGTTGGCCTATTCATAAAGTTCTTAATAAATGTAGCCTGTACAGTTCTTATTTCATCTGGTATTGGTAATTGCCAGTTCCCCTTGGTGGCTTTTACAAACTGATCACTCCATGCACAGAAGCAGATCCATGCCAGGCTGGTCAGTTTGTGCCCCTGGGATCACTGCTAGGAGATACAGAATAATGTGCTGACACCTGGTTGTGATATATCTTAGTGGACTTTTTCAGACACACATAGATTTGCAATAGAGACAGAGGTTTTGTTTGTTTGTTGATAGAGAGCTGGGTTCACACAATGGAAGGTGCCATCTAAAACAGACCAAACTGTTTTTTCACAATGGTGTGGCTTGTCCTGTATTGTTTCCCCCATTATTCGTATCACAATGGGATGGTGATATGGGTCAGTTTTGCATAAACAGTCACACCTAGCCTGGTCAAGACCCAAATCAAATCTGGACTACTGATGGCAATTTATGATACAGCACTGCCACCTAGAGGTGGGAAAGTGAAATGCATGGTATTTCATTTTCCTAAAAGTGAAAGGGGCGGCGCTTCCAAGTGTGTGGCCAGTTTCTCTAGAAGATAGTGTAGTGGGTGCATGTGAATGTTTGTAGCAGCATGTACTGTTTATGTATTTGTTTGCTTTTCCTGTAACTAAGTTTGTACACGCAGCATTTTCGCCAAGTAAAGTACTTTTAAATGCTAATTGGTCAGTTTCCTTGAAGCTTTACTGCAAGAACAGACAACAAATAGAAATTAAAGTTTTGCCAAGCTTTACAGCTGGGCTCATCCTTGGGATTTGTAGTCCAGAGCATTACAACATCCCCTGCCCAGCCCTGTCGTGTTGTAGCTGCAGCCTGTGGGAGCAAGGATTAGCCTTCTGAAATGCACTGCACAGGCAGGGAAAGTACTTCCCTGCAGTGTGCAATGTCACACTATGCCCACCTGCTGGCTGTACTGACCTTAAAGAACTCCAGGCAGAAAAAAAAATTAACCCTTTTAGTGGGGCTACTTGCAAAAATGAAGGTGTGCCTTTTGTGCAGAAGGCCAAGCAGATGATACAGAAGACTTCCTTTGAATTTGCAGATGCTGGATCACACCAGAGTCTGTGCCATGGCTATGGACCAGGAGGGGGCTCACTGGTTAACAGAAAAAGCCCACCATGCAGAACCCAGTGCCCGAAAGTTAAGTTCAAGGTTAGCCTCAGCGCAACCAGAGGCTTACTTACATGAGTTTTCAGAGATACCAGAGGATGTGCCAGTACTCTCTCCACCTAGAGAGCCCTCTGCTGCTAGCTGACACAGTACGCAGAAGTCCACAAAAAGCTACAATGCAGAGCCTAGTGCTCGAAGATCACATTGCAGACTAACCTAATTTTTCTGTCAAGCATGGTTTGGATAGCCTCCAAAGCTGTTGGGGAAGATGCGTCACTACATTTAGCTGCAGTGTAGTTCTGTATTAAGTCACTGAAGAAACTATCTACAGAGTATTTTTTGCTTTAAAGGGGAAAAAAAAACCAAAACCAAAAAGCTGGCAGAAAAAAATAGAGTTTGTTTTTAGCAGACCCGAGGAAAAGATGTGCGACCTCCTAGAACACTAGCTAAAAACTTAGGCTTGATAGTTGGAAACGATATGTGGGCGCTGACTTAACATTTTTTGCTTGCCATTGTCTGAATCTCCTAAAGGAGGCAGTCTAACCCAAATCTCTAAGAATTATTACATTCCTGTGTCCCTCAATTAATGATAAATTAAATATTGCTGTATCATCTAACATTGTTACTAACGCTATGACAGGAAATATGTTGATACACATATCTGAAACCTAGAAACATGAAGCAGGAGATACGATGTGTACTGGTTTTAATCTTCAGATATTGCTAGTGTAATATTTCAATGGGATTCACTTTGTTGCATCACAACCTAATCCCTGTATTTCTTATTTGCAATGGACATAGACATGTGGAGATAAAAAGTAGAGACTGCAAAACACAGAACAGACATAGCATATGAAGCTTACCCGCGCACAATGCCGCTCTCCAAATAATTGACCTGGATGAACTTTCCAAAGCGGCTGGAGTTGTTATTGTGTGCTGTTTTGGCGTTTCCAAAAGCCTGGTAATAAAGAAGCATACTGTGAGCACAAAATACCAAAATTACACAGATGGTTCAAAAACCTACATGTAACAGTGTTTGTTTTCTATTTCTCAAAATGAGAACACGCATATATCTATATCTATCTATCCATCTATCTAGATAGATTATATTTGATTAATTTCAGTGTCAGTTAAGCTAGCATTGTATCGCTGTTTGTGTCCATGCAGAATGTTTGTTCACTTCCCCTCCTACTTACAATGTCGTCATTAGGACAGGAAGTGAAAGGAACCTCTCCAATCAATGGGCACAGGCAATGACACAAATTTGTCAGAGGATTTAACCTATTTCCACTTTAATGGAAACAAAACAAAAAAAAAGCAAAAAAAAGCAAAAAAAACCCTGCGGTTACACAGTCATCGTCAGCACATAAAATCATTAGTGAAATAATTTACAGTAGCTACACAGTTCCCTGTTAACTTAGAGGCCACAACAAGAATCACAAAGTCAGTAATTTTAATCATGGGTTGCAATATATGCTACTGTGAATTAGGACGATCTCTATATGTGATACACACAGATGTCTGCCCATGTATATTATGCCCATGCTTAGTATCCAGATGGATTCCCCATAAATCAAAGTAGCAGTGTACAAGAAACCAAGTTCTTCTTTTGGTTAGAAGAATGTACAAATTAGAAGTGAACTGGCTTGCCTAGAACAGAAAAATTAGCTGTAACCGCCCCCCATTAAAGAAAGCTATGACTCAAGTGATTATTGCTGAAATGTCACTATACATTCCAACTACAACATTTAACGATGGAATGTCAGACTAGCACCACGCAGGGTGGTGATGAATGAGACAACTTTCCAGATGAGAAGAATGTTGGATTCAGAAATTAACTACAGCAAGCAGGCAGTCAGTTCTACAGTATTTTTCCACACTTATTTTTTCATCCATTGGATAACTGCTAGGTGTTCTCTTCAAAACTGTATATTGAAGACATTTGGATTTTGCCTTCCTCACAACTACATGTAAAATGTGAACACCTGTGGCAGGATTTAATAGTTTGCTGATCTTCAAAGTCAAAAGAAGTTAAACACAATAACTGAGCCATGATAAAAAAAAAAAAATATTTGTAAACATTAAAACACAATGTAGCACATGCAATGGAATAGACACCCGTTCAGTCTGTACCTAGTAAGACAACCTTTTCAGAAATATTTTCCCCGACAAAAAAAAAAAATCAGAAGACTTAAAAGGAGAACTATGAGATGAGTGCTTTCCACTCACCTCATAGTTCTAGCCGACCTGTGACAATGAGACTGTCACAGGTCGGCTCAGTAGATCGCGAGGTGAGCGAACACATACCGGGTTCGCTCACCTCTCTGGTGGGCTGGATTCCCCTCTCCCCGCTCTGATCTGCCAGCGCTGACTGGCGGAACGGACGGGGGAGGGGGTGGGTACAGCTGGCTCTGCCTCTAGATAGGCAGAGCCAGCTCTCACTCACGCAGCTGGGCGGATCTCGACGTCGAGGTCGGGATCCGCTCCAGCTGCGGCGTCTCAGTATACCGCAAGCTGTAGAGTCAACATGCGACACCGCAGCTGTAAAACATCGGCTCTATAGATTGAGAACTGAGCAAATCACATACGGCTGATTGCTCAGCTCACAATCTTCTCCCTGCAGAGAGCTGTGACTGTCAGTCACCGCTACCTCCAGGGATTCCCCCGCCCCCCTCCCCGATCCAGAGCTAGCTCTGTCAATCAGGCAGATGGGTGGATCCTGACAATATTGTCAGAATCCTTCCTGGCTGCAGTGCAGCTCTGCGCTGTCAGCATATAGCAGGCAAGAGAGAGCTAAGGCCTAAAAAAGGTTTGACCATAGTCACCTTTAAATATACTAACCTTATCCCTGCTTCCATCTGCAGTGCCTAGGCGTGCGGCATCACGACCCTTCTGGTGATATACCAAGGAAATGTGACTTACCGGAAATCCTATGAAAAACATGCTCCTGCACTGTGCTGGGGCATTATCCCATGAGATTTTTGGTACTCCGCATTTCCACAGATTTTGTTGCACATCTACCTCATGCAGTACGGAAGCCAGTAAATGTAATATTTTTTTCCCTACAGGTGTGTTTTGTTTTTTACACATGTACGCTGCTATTTACAATAAGGTAGGTGATCCTAATATAGCAAATATATACCTCGCTTATTTCTGCTAGCTCCATTTTTAAAAAGTCATCCACATGCAGCAGCTGCTGGATCCTATATCATTATTATACAGGATTTATATAGCGCCAACAGTTTGCGCAGCGCTTTACAATATAAGGAAGACTTTACAATCACAATACAAATCAAGACAAGATGGTAAGGAGGGCCCTGCACCTGAGACAATAATACATTTCCTTAGGCATTTTGAAACTGGAATTTGATTAAACATGGGCATCAATAGATCCACATACTGAATGGTGGCAAACTTTATTTTCATGTGTACATTTAATTTGAGCATGTGGTATGATATGCACGGAGCAGATGGTAAATTGTTGGAAGCAAAATTTTTAAAATTTGTATACATAATTCTGTTGCTACAAGCACTAAGGTAACATATCCAACTGTAGTTACAGAAAGAAACATACAGACTGATCTTGTACGGTTTATGCTTCAAGAATGTGTGAGTCAGGGATCTGCAGAGACTGATGAGGTCATTGAAAACTCTGGAATCGTATGCTAAACCACTCTCTCCAACCTCTGAGAGATGAAGTCTTCTAGCACACTGTTATATGCATTTGTTGAAAAGCCCATTTCATAACTATGAACAATGTATAAACAGAAAGCAACTATAAAATCAACCTAGTACTTTAAAATGCTGCCTGTATACAGTAAGTATCTGAAATGTTATATTTCCTATAATCCGTAACACAGCAGAAATCAGCACTATTGCACTGTGCAGTGCTGTAAATCTAAGGTTTCCAATCACTGTGGACAAGAGGGGAATTCATTAGGAAGATGCAAGAAATCCCAAGGAGATCCTCATCAGCAAGATGATGCTTATACATGTTCCAAGTGCAACCATGAAGCTCCAACAGAGAGCAACTTTCCAATCTATGTAGTTTGGCAGGTATGTAGTGGCTCAGCCTTAATAGAATTAGAGAATACTGTGGCTGGTAAACAAAACAAAAA